GATCCTTTGGTGGAGACTTTGAGACTTTCTTGTTACAAGAACTAGATATTTTCCTGATGAATACAAGAAATAACTTGGTGAAATTGAGAGAAAACAAGCTGAACACAAAGCCAAAGCAAAAGGAAAGACCAAGATTAGAGAAAGTTCCAGGGATCATAATGAACAAACCCATCACTACATCATATTCAAGTGTTTCCAAATAGCCCTGAAACAAAAAGAAAAGTCACCAAATCTCATACTATGAAACGGTCTCCTCTAACAATCATTGCACATGCCACTTCTACACCTGAAAAGAATAAAGGTCTAAAGAGAAAGAAAATTTTGACCAATGAACTTGAGTCTCCAGAGACTCAAGCTAAAAAATCAAAGTGAAAAAGGAAGAAGCAAATAGTTTACCCTTCCATTAAACAACCTATAGAACCAGCATAGCAGGTATATGCTCTAATCTTCTTGTATCCAAGATTTGCTGGCAGATGGCAGACAATAGTGGACAAACCTCTCATGAAAGAAAAAGAAACTTGGATGTTGATCAGTTCAACTCCAAATGTCAAATGCAGAAGCCAAATATAAAAGAGAGATTAACTATTGTACGAGTAAAGGAGAGAGACTTCTTCAAATAATCCAGATTTTCTAGAAAGAGAAGAAAATCATGAATGCTCTAAATTGAAGACTTAATTCACATATTCAACAATGAATTAATCATCAGCGTTTGACCAAGTAGGCTTATATAAATTCTTGTTATTCAAGGATTATTAGGCAGAAGAATTCCAAGATCACCTAACAAGAAGTTAGGAACATGGTGCTATTGAGGGGAAGCCTCAATGTGCTTTGATCGAGAAATCAATAAAAACAACTCTTCAATGAAGTGCTTGTGAGTTTAAGCTAAGTAATCGTGTTGTGTATGTCGCATCTATACTTTGTCCTTACATTGTTGTAATGTTCATTGATTGGTTGATTGATGAATGAAAGTTCACTTAGATCTTGGAATGCCCCTAGACGTAGGAGTGTTATTCTCCGAACTGGGTTATCAAACTGCATGGGTTCATTTACTTACTCGGTTTTTTAGTTTGATTCGCATTTTTGCCTAGCTCGTATCTACTCGTAGTTAGTCCAAGTCTTAGTCCACTGCTCCTAGCTTATTTCACGGTATAAGTCTATGATTGTTTGATTGTTATTCTATTTATATTTTAATCTTGACTACTCAATACACTCTATTTATATTTTAATCTTGACTACTCAATACACTAGACTTTTGTAACATATGGTTTCACGTTCCTCAGTTATGACCATGCCACTATCTTATCAAATGATATGAAAAATTATACAAACAATCCTTCATGGGATCATTACAAAAGTACCTCACCCAAGGGGAAATGGACCAAGTCATAGAGGAAATTCATGAAACGATTTATGCCACCCATTAGGGGGCAATGCCCTTTGGCAAAAAATGTTTTGTTACAAGGGTATTATTGGCCCTGAATAGTAGTCAATTGCATTAAGTACGTTAGGATGTGCAAAACCTGAATTTTTTCATATTACTAGTGATGCTAAAAAGAACTTAAGGCCATAACCTGTTTTGGGGGAGGGTTAGGGGTGGCTAGTGTAAGGCTCATAGGAGCCGGGGACAAATAGGGCTCACCAACCGCGAAGGGATTAGTTAGATGCCCGATGGTGGAAGAGCATAGCGAGATGCCTAGGTTAGTACCAAACGGGGTGGTAGCTTGGGTCATTAGGTTAACGAAATGAGCTGCAAGTAGCTTGATGGTGGGAGAGACAAGCTAGCCAATGATAGATACTCATATGCTCTAAGTAGGCTAGTGATGACATTCATAGGTAGGCAGCATGTTAGCGTCCCAAGTAGGTGGACAGTGGTAGTTTTTGGTGAACCAGTGGTGAGAATGTCAATGGTGACAATAATTTGGAGCGATGGTGTGTTGACGTCATGGGTGTTGTTTTTTGGGGCGAGGGATGGGGGGCATCTAGTTTGTTGTTTTTTTTACGGTGGAAAAAGAAGTGCTAAAAATTTTGCGAGCCAAAAATTTACCATCAAGTAAGGAAAATAATTTTTCAAGAGAAAATAAGATTTTATAGGCACTTTGAGCGAGGTTGAGAATGCTTGAATTGGGGAAAGAAGTTGAGAGAGGTTATGTAATTGCAGGGATTTAAATTCTTTCAAAATGATGGTTCTATGCACCTTGTTGTAGTTAAATTTGATATTCAAATAGGGAAATATGGGCAATCTGCAAGATTGCATGTTCGACCCCTACTAATTGCTCTAGTTTTCTAGATAATCAAAAGAAACAGGGGAGTTGTGATCGGCCCATGATCCCTAGAAAGATTTCTAATGGGTTAAAGAAGGGAGGCAATTTTGGGCAGGGTAATAGGGAGTTTGGGGTCAAACTGCAAAGAAGTAAAGATTTAACATCCATGGAGTAGGAAGACAAAATCTAGGGTCCAAGGTCCAAAGGCAAAAAAAGAGGGATGAGCGGGTGGCTAGGCAACTTGGTGCCTTGCTTAGCCAAGCAGCGCCCTACCGTTCGGCACAATTGCTTCGTGGGTGACTGTGGGCTATGTATGGCCTTGCAACAGTGAGCTAGGGCAAGGTGAAAATTTAGCTTCTCAATTTAGGGTGACAGACAATTGGACAAACTACCTCATGTCTCCAACTCTATAACATAGAAAGTATGAGCCACATATAACATCATCCACTATTCAATGGTGTGCACTTGGTAAATCATAACATCTTACTTCTCAATCACTATCCGAGGATGTGCACTTGATAAACCAACCAGTCTAAGTTACTCATAAGTTATAACTGACCGACTCAAATCAAGAAGACCAATAGGTCGCTCCATTGGAAATTAAACTTGGAATATTGTGATTACCAAACCAACATCCCGACCAACTTAACGTGGATTACTCCGATTCCCATTAATGTTTGAATTCATCAGTAATTGTTACTACAATGGCGGCAATTGAGTATAGAAACAAAGCTAGAGCTATAATGTGTAAAATAAGTGAATTTATATACCTTCCCTTAACTTTAACGACTCATGGATAATCCAAGGACCTTGTGGTGACAGACAATTGGACAAACCACCTCATGTCTCCAGCTCTATAACATAGAAAGTATGAGCCACATGTAACATCATCCACTATTTAATGGCGTGCACTTGGTAAATCATAACATCTTACTTCTCAATCACTATCCGAGGATGTGCACTTGATAAACCAACCAATCTAAGTTACTCATAACTGACCGACTCAAACCAAGAAAACCAATAGGTCGTTCCATTGGGAATTAAACTTGGAATATTGTGACTATCAAGCCAACATCCCAACCAACTTAACAGGGATTACCCCGATTCCCATTAATGTTTGAATTCATCAGTAATTGTTACTACAATTGCGGCAATTGAGTATAGAAACAAAGATGGAGCTATAAGGTGTAAAATGAGTGAATTTACCGTCGTTATATCATAGACCGCGGTGCACATGCACCGCGGTAAAAGAACGGCACCATTTCTTTAAGTAAAGAAACGGCCTGTCGTTACCGTTAACGGAATCCGCATGTTTGGTGTATTAAACACCAACTGGCACTACAGTATATCTTAACCGACACTGCCTCACGACAAATGAAACTGCAGTTATATCAAAATGATACTGTAGTTGTGGTGAAATGAAACTGCAGTGTATATAAAATGAAACTGAATAACATTTCACATATTTGAGTGTATATTGTACAATGAAGCTGTAATTATATCAAAATGATCATGTAGTTGTGTTTTAATAAAACTATAGTGTATATAAAATAAAATTAAATAACATTTTCACATATTATAAAGAAGGGGATACCTTACATATACACACTACTTGCCTCAAGTGAGGTTCAAACCTATCACCTCCCACTTAAGGGAGCAATCTAATACCAGTGAACCACAAGCCACTTGATAACATTTTCACATATTTGAGTCTATAAATATCGAATGAAACTGTAGTTATATCAAAATGAAACTGTAGTTGTGTTGAACTGAAACTACAGTGTATACAAAATGAAACTGAATAACAGAGTCACTTTTTGCGGAAGGGTGCGGAACGACGGAAAACAAATGCCATTTCTTTTCATTTAACAAAACGACGTCGTTTTGATGCGCGGTGCATAATCGATTATGCATCGCGGTGCACGATATAATTTGCGGTGAATTTATATACCTTCCCTCAACTTTAACGACTCATGGATAAGCTAAGGACTTTATAGTCTAGTGGCACCAAGTTGCTCTAGCTTGGATAGAAAAATAGTTATGCTGTGCAACCGAATGCACCATGCGCATGGTGCATATGATGCAAAACGACGTCGTTTTGACTAAAAACGCGCGTCCCACTTAAAAAAAAAATCAGGTTCGATTCTCGGCAATAGCATTATTGTGGATATATAGTTACTAATTTTTGGATATATAGTTATGAATTTGTGGATATATAGTTATGAATTTATGAATATTTAGTTCATTCATTGTGGATATTTAGTTCATTCATTGTAGATATTTACTTCATTCATTCACTGTGGATATATAGTTATGAATTTCTGGATATATAGTTATGAATTTATGGATATTTAGTTCATTCATTATGGATATTTAGTTCATTCATTGCAGATATTTACTGCATTCATTCATTGTGAATATTTAGTTCATTCATTGTGGATTTTTACTTCATTCATTCACTGTGGATATATAGTTATGAATTTATGGATATATAAAAATGCTATTGCCGGGAATCGAACTTGATTTCTTCTTTAAGTGGGACGCGCGTTTTTTAACCAAAACAACGTCGTTTTGCATCGAATGCACCATGCGCATGGTGCATTCGGTTACACAGCATAATTTGCGATCACACGACTCATGGATAAATTTTTTGATTGTAGAATATACAAACGGGTTTCTTAGGTAGGCCCGCTGGGCTTTAGGATTAAATGATAGATCCATGATCCACGAATCCTATTCCTATATAGACCCATCTTAAGGGTTTATCTCAGTTTGTTCGTCTTCATCTTCGTACAGACTCGGCCGTCTCAGCGCTGTTATCCTAGCTCCCCAAGATGGTACTTCTTTTCTCTCTCTTTGTAGAATCTAAGTCCAATTTCATCTTATCAACACGTTTCAATCGGACTGATTTTTACTGGTATTTACAAGATTAGAAAATGAAAAAGGGTAATGTATATTCAATATTTGATGCAAACAGAGAAAAAAGTTATTCTTTAAAGATTTCTTTTTCAATTTAGAAGAATGGAGTTAGTAAAAATCCCTAAAAAGAAAGGAGCAGAGATCCTCAAGTAGTAAACGTGTATTGTAGTTTAATTAAAGCATATTGTCCGTCCCTGAAACTATAAGGCTTTCAAAGAGGACCAAAGGTTTTACTTTGCATATTTTTGCACCTGAAGGTTTCATGATAAGAGTATTTGTTTGATTCAGTTATTGCTCTGTGAGTTTTGGTCTGCTTTCTGTATTCTATAACTGAATCATGTTTCTTTATGTTTTTGGTTAACATTCTAAACTTGATTTATGTTAACTATGTACCCAGACCAAGAGAACCAAGAAGGCTGGTATTGTTGGGAAGTACGGTATGTATCTAGCATGGTTAATATATTCACTTATTTTATTGAGTTATTATGTGATATGAAGTCAATGTTTTTATGGAGTTAGTTTTGCTACAATAAATGATAGGACTTGGGATGATGCAGAATGATGTATTTGTGGATTTAACTGATAGGCTCATAGGCCAATCTAGTAATCAAGCCTATGCATATTTAGATTCCCTTAGGGAATGTTAGATTCCTGTGTTTGGTTTAGAAATTGGAGGGGATCTCACATTCCCTTCCAATAGCTAAAAATTTAATGCGGTGGTTATCTTGACATTCTCTGTGAAAGTTACATAACCTGAACCAAATATGAGAATCTTATATTACCAAGCAAATATAACCTTGGTTATCTTATATAACTTGAACCAAATGCCCCCTTAATTTCTTCAACTTTAGCTAGCCAGGACTCTTTTAGTTATCCTCTAAAATGTAGTCTGCACCAATTTTTTGCTCATTCTGAATGCATATTTAAAGAGTAAACCCCTTAATTTCTTCAACTTTAGCTAGCCAGAACTCTTTTAGTTATCCTCTAAAATGTAGTCTGCACCAATTTTTTGCTCATTCTGACTGGTTAACGTGTAATAAGCTTAGGCCTGGCTGTTGTATCATGTTGGCATTGTTTGGTATACTTATGTATAAGCAACAACATATCAGGTACCCGCTATGGTGCCAGTTTGAGAAAACAAATAAAGAAGATGGAGGTCAGTCAGCATAGCAAGTACTTCTGTGAGTTCTGTGGGAAGGTAAGCCATGTCATGTTTGGTGCATTTTATAAATTTCCCGGATTTTTGTTGTTAATTACTCTAGTGTATATATTTTTGCAGTACGCGGTGAAGAGGAAAGCTGTGGGTATTTGGGGTTGCAAAGACTGCGGGAAAGTCAAAGCTGGTGGTGCTTACACACTGAAGTAAGTGGCTCTTGCCAAATTCACTCTTCCGAGTTTTTACTTTTTACCACTCTTGTTTCTCAAGTACTAATTGGTTCTCACTTTCCTTGGCAGCACTGCTAGTGCTGTTACAGTAAGGAGCACCATCCGAAGGCTTAGGGAGCAAACCGAGAGCTAGAAACGCGAAGCTAGTAGTCAAGCTTGAGACTTTTATACTTTGGTTGTTTTGTAGCTATCAAAATCTAGACCTTTGTGTAATGTTAGAGGGTGTTTTGATTTTTGAAACATCTGAATCTTTTTGCATGTTGGAATTAATGTGAGATGCTGCTTGCTTTTAGTTTTAGTTATAAGATAGAACCTAACCTAAATAAATATGGCTTTCAGATCAGATCAAGTAAAATGGGCCAAAGACAAGAAGGGTGATCAAGAATAAGGATTTCTTAAAAAGAACTCAATTTTCAGAAGTCATTAATATTATACGTACACAAAGCCGGCTGGGTCAGGTTTTCCCTTGGCTCCAGCGCTCTAATTATACTGGGCTACTTTAGAAGTTAACAAATGACCAAGTAGTAGATAGGTACTGTACTGTGTAGAAGTGATACCATATGGCTGGCTCTTTATCCGCTCCCCACGTGCAGCTTTAAAAGGCGAGAGCCGGTTCTAAGCCCAACTTTGATGATGCATTTGCTTTTACACGATGGGAATAGGAAGCTCGTCACTGTTTCTCCGATGATGCATTTGCTTTTGCACAGCTTTCACGGCTGCTACTCTTGCTCCATTAGCTGCCCGGTTCGCTGCTGCTACTGCCTTGTTCACCCTTTCATCCACCTTAGCAACATCATATGCTTTCTCAGCTGCTCGTCGTGCTTCCTGAGAAAATAACCGAAAAAAAAAAAAATACCATTCAGTGTTTGTGTTGTTGCCCTCTGCTATGTGTATTCCCCAAGTAGTAAGGCAATTTGCATGCAGTATTCATAGCATGAGAACAGAAATATGCAGAAAAGAGACCTTTATAAAATCATCAAATATCTCACAACTAACTGTTTTATACTCTGCCACAGATTATTCACGTAGCCCAAATTAATTATACCCAAATCAGATTGAGAATTAACCTTACAATTCCACACACTAAATAGGTTATGATGATAAAAGCTAGTTATCGTTATGAATTTACCTGGACTGCATTAAGCACTTTTGAGTGGTAAACAGCAACAGGAGATACAGGATAGGACACACTTTGTGTGCTTGGAATGTCAAGAACCCCATTTTGCCAGTGACCTGACTGAGTTTCTCCATTTCTAAAAGTATACATTCCCAATCCTTGTCTCCTGCCTTCGTGCCAAGCTCCTTCATAACGATGCCCGTTTGCAAAGCAATAAACCCCAAATCCATGCATCTTATCAGCAAAATATTCTCCAGCATAAGTGTCACCATTCCTAAGATGTGAAAAAATGCGGAATCAATACTCAATAAGGCAGGCTATTGACTGAGAACAAAATTAGCCATTCTAATTTATTTCTTCTAGATACAATATGTTGCAAGAGCTCCAAATTAACAATGTCTATTACCTCAGCCTTGATATTTCCAACACAAAATGACAAAATAAAGGTGTTACTTTATAACATGGTCTGCGTGAATCAAAGAAAAGAAGAGGGGATGGATGAGATGCATGATGCCATCATGAATTTTATTCCTTTTCACATGTAAAAGTCTACTGCTGTATGCAAAGGCTGTAATTTTTCCTATCAAAGGAGTTAATAATATTGCAAGGTTGGTAACTTTACAGTTGCTAATTCCCATAAAAGGCTGCAAGTGTTAAAATCGTTTTATCATGTTCATTTATTTATGTAAAGAGTAAGTAACGACAAATATTTTCCAAAGCCACGGGGAAGGTAGGACATGAGTAGCTTAATGCACTGGATCAAACCTCTTCTATGTAGTACATTTATATATACTATGCTATTTTTAGTATAGTCTACTGCTTGTTCAAAATAATGCATCCTAAAAGATACTAACGGGAAAGGTGAGTGAGTTGGTGAACATACTTGCTTAATGCTTTACCTATGGATATGAAATTATGAATCATCTTTGCAGCATGATATGTTAGTGAGCATATAAATCATATTCACAACTATAGTAAGTCATAACACCTGAACTCCAATGTGCAGCAAATCAAATTATGATTAAGAGACATATTAAAGCCAACAAGAATAAGATGAACATGACAGTCTACAATAACAAACAAAAAGCAACTAAAAAAGAAGGAAAAATGAATGTCTAAAGAATACCTAAAATGGTAGTGGCCAAGGCCATGCTTGACACCCCATTTGAATTCACCAACATATCGGCTACCGTCATCACAGGTATGCACCCCACACCCATGACTCTGCCCATTTGACCATTCTCCTGCATAAACATCCCCTGTATAAAACCTATAAACTCCAAAACCATGCCTAAGTCCTTGCCTATATTGGCCTCTATACCGGCTCCCCCTCGCCCACGTCTCAACTCCATAGCCATCATACTTCCCATCAACCCAATCACCTTCATACCTTCCACTCATGTAATAATAGTAAACACCACTCCCACTGCATTTCCCCTTGTGAAACTCACCCTCATACACATCCCCATTTCTATATGCCTGCACAAAATTCCCAGAATTCACCTTTTTCTCAAACTTAGGCCGAGACCCGATAGACCAAAATACGGGCAAAGGCCTTCTGGACACTTGGTTTGACAAGGACAGCTTAATTGGTAAAGACCTAGCAAGGAACAACCGAATGGAGGGCAGCCTGGGAAGGGCCAAATTCAAAGAAAACAACAGAGCTGCCGAGAAGGCAAAAGCCGAGAGGAAATCAAGAAAAAAGGAGTTAGTGGGATGAGAAACCAGAAAATAGAAAAATGGCAAGGAGAGGAGGAGGATGAGGCGGAGGTGAACCCGGACAACACGGCGAAGGTGACGAAGCTGATGGTAAACATGGACACCCATAATTCTAAAAGAATGTTGACCCTTGGCCACCGGCGGAGGAGGAGCGGAAGAAAATGAATATTTGTGAAGAGAATTGCTCAAAGTGGGGGATTTGACGATGGAGCTGGAAGAAGAATTGGAAGGGTTATTGGAGGAGACCCCCAAAAGGGGTCTCTTATGAGGGGTGGTCTTGCTATTTGGCACCACCATCGGCGGGGCAGCGGTGGGAGAAGGCGGAATCGAGTCATAGCCATCGTTGATGAAGATTTGAAGGGTTGTATTGTGCGGGGAAGCAGCAGAGGGAGAAGGCGGAGGCGGAGAAGGAGGCGCCGCAAAGAAGAAAGCGTTGGGGGCGAGATGGGGATTATTGTGTTTCTGGTAAAGCGAAGAAGACGAAGAAAGCAGGGTAGGGTTGAAATCGGAAGAGACGCCGCTGCTTTCTTTTCCGATCTGAACTTCAGATTTCTTCTGATGCATTACCTATACATGCGGATAAAGATACATCCACGCTCACTCGTTCTCTCTCTCCCTTCACCAACAACAATATATCGCTTTCCCCTGCCAATTCCAGAGCTTATCTCACCGGGGAAACACGAAATTGGGTGGAAATTTCCCACTTTTCTTGAAATGGAATGATTCTCAATTCGCTCTTCTTCCCTTTCTCAACCTGTATGGATGGAATTCTACAAACGGAATCTGTGCACAACAATATATATATATATATATAGTTGTGAGTGTAAAAGAGATTTTGTGTTATGGAGAAGAGAGCGGAGAGAGCAAGAAGATTAAGGTATTTTAATGGTGTGTTTTACACCGAGTCTGTAGAAGAAGGATGGATTTCAAACAAAAGCCAACCCCTGCCTAGCCTACAAAACCCCCCCATTTTGCCCATTCCCCCTCACCATTCTATTTATTTGCGATACTACCACTATAATTTTCTCATTTTTTTTTTTTTTTTGCATTTATGAAAATTATTTTTAAAATTAATATATTTTCAGCCAAGACCTTGTGGTCTAATGGCACAAGGTTGGTCTCTCATATGAGAGGTTATGAGTTTGAGCCTCAATCTTTAGTAGGTTGAGAAAGTAGTTATGAACAGATACTATATTGTAATTGAGTTAGTAGTATTCAAAAATTAATATATGACATTTTAGCATCGCATTTTAATATTTTTTATTTACGAAAAAACCCCGTAGCCACTACTCGAAAGTGTACATTGGGTGAAGTCCCCTTTGTAACACTAGCCAGCCAAAGACAAACGAATCTAAGTTGTCCATACCCGACCGACTTAAACCTAAAAGGCTAATATACAACCCCCATTGAAAGTTAAACTTGAAATATTGTAGTTACCAAGTAATTGTCTGACTAATTTGGTTGGAATTATTGCCGCCAAGATGATTGAATGTGTAACATTTTTATTTTTAGTTATTGACATTTTTATTGTTAATATGATAGTATTTTCAATAACAACATTAATACAGGAATTATAATTTTTTACCTTAATTTTTTTTATCATTTAATCACGATAAAACTCTTTTTATTTATTGGTTATCTTGAATTGGCCAATTACATCTTGGGGTAGAAAAAAAAAATTTATTTACAAATCATATAGATGAGTAAGAATACATGAAAGGTATTTAAAAGTAATATCTTATATCTTATAATATAATATCATGTTTTGTATTTTGTGCAATTATAGTTTATGCTTGGTTAATAACTAAAAATAATGACACTATAATTTCACTAAATAATATGGAGGGTCTCGCACATACTACACATAATTTCTCAAGAATTTTTATTGTATCCTATGAATTTTAAATAGGGCAAAAACATGTGTTTCCAAATAATAAGCTCAAACTTGCATTATTATTTCAATTTTTAAAGGTAAATATTGTGACAATTTAAAATACCAAACCCTTTAGAATTATATAGTTTAGCTGTGTTGGGGTCTTATTGTCTTAAAACATTGAAATTCTGGTTTTTATTAGAATACTTATTAAGACAGTACAACAAAAGCACAAGTTGTAGGTATGTCTCTCGTATCAAAATTTGGTTATTATATTGCCAAAGTGAATCACCAAATTTGTTTTGTACTTTTTGTGTGTGTGTGTTTAATAGTTACTTTTAATATAGTTTTTAAATATATAAATTTGTATACTAATACTAAACATAATATTATGAAAAATTTGAATTAAAAATAACTTTAGTCAATCATAGTTAACCGAACGAGACATATATAAAATTAAGGATGTTAAACAATTCATATTTAGACATAAAGGGTAAATTAGTTTGTCATAAAATCCAACACATCAGCAAAATAAGGAGAGAACCTGACTTTTCATCCAATTTTCTTGGCTACTCGTCGGAATGGCGGATATCCAGCATCCCATCTCCCGCTATAGCCCAAAATGTATACCATCGACCATGAAAATACACAACTTACTGTCGAAAGAATGCATAACTACGGAGACCATAATGCATAACAATATGTTGCACACTATCCGCGAAAAGTGCACAGAGGTTAACTCACAATTGCACAACATCTACAACTACAATGCACAACTCCAAGTGTCTCTAAACTAATCCACACTAAAAGCCCAAAATGCACCCACTGGATCGGATGTGCAAATGCACAACTACGGAGGTCACAATGCATAATAGTACATTGCTTGCCACCTGCAATAAATGTACAAAGGTTAACCCACAATTGCACAACAGTCGCAACTACAATGTACAGTCCCAAGAGGATTAATCCCAAATGTCACAAAACTAATCCACAATAGAAACCCGAAACACACACCCTCGGCCATGTAAATGCACAAACTAAGGAGGCCATAGTGCACATTAGTACCTAGCACGCCACTTACAAAAAATGCGCATAGGCCAATCATAAAAATAGACATTATTACACTCAAATGATATACAATTTAAAAACACGAAAATAAACCTAAGGTAATGGCTGAAGAAAGGAAACATAGAATAAGAAAACATCAAAAGTGGAATGGAGAAAGAACCTTGGAAAGAAACGTAAATACCCATGCAATTAAATCTTAAAAACTTGCAAAAAGCCTTAAAAATAAAACTCCAAACTTTGAAAACATGAAAAATTACTAAACTGCCCCTAAATAATTAAATAAGGAAACTAACCACAAAATATGGGATAAATCCCAGCCACTAAATGACCCAAGATGGCCACTCCGTATATAGGGAAGGGTTCAGGTGCAGATAATGCTTTCCGTGCGGTTGTACGGTTATACGTACCTTAAGTATTAACATGGCGCACCTTAAGTACACATGCAACACACGCACCTTAAGCACACAAACAAAGCATTTTAAAAACCCAAACCACTCACCTTAAGTACACAAACCACGCACCTAAAGTTTTAAAATGACTCTCCATAAGTTTCACACAACTGACACAAATCACGCACCTTAAGAAAAAAATAACGCACCTTAAGAAGAAAAATCACGCACCTTAAGTTTCAACAACTACTCACATTAAGTACAAAATCGACGCACCTTAAGCACATAACCCACGCACTTTAAGCACAAAACATTAATGACATAACTCACACACCTTAAGTACAAAATCCACGCACCTTAAGCACAAACCCCACACACCTTAAGCACAAAAACCACGCATCTTAAATTTAACCTAGATTCAAAAATTACCAAATTGCCACTGTTTTTTTTTTTGTTTTTTTTTTTTGTTTTTTGGGTAATCTTGGATGTTGATTTAAGCAAGATCAATGGCGCAGATTTAACCGCACAACCGCACCTGGACGCACCAACCACACCAGAACCTAATTTTATATATATATATATATATATATATATATATATATATATATATATATATATATATATATATATATATATATATATATATATATCTACTTCTACTATATATATACTAATAAGAGCCCAAGAGAGTTAGGCCTATAATGGGTAGAAAAAATGGCGGTCACAGATTTTAATCAAATGAATGGCTCAGATTGATTAAAAGATTGATAAGATTTAAATTTTACACTAAAATTTTCTAAAATACCCACACACCGTTACTAATTCCGTTAAAATTTTAAGAATTACCGTTAGTTCACCGTTAACTTACTCATTGATTTCAATAAATAAAAAAATGTCTTAGGTTCAAACCTCATCCCAATCAAAGTTGGCATAATTAGTACTCTATTTTACTCTTATTAAATTATATAAATAATAATTTAGTAGCTACAACAAAAAATTAGTTATATGTCCATAATGCCTTTATTCAAAAAAAAATTATTCATTATCAATAAATTAAATAAGAGAAATAATTGTATTAGTTATATTGTCTTTATTTTTCTACAATATAAAAATTCTTTATATTCAAATTTATTAATTGATTATATTCGCTACATTGTCCTTACAATGTCTTAATTTAGTAAAAAAAAAATTATTCATTATCAATAAATTAATTAATAGAAATATTTTCATTAGTTATATTGTCTTTATTTTTCTCAAATGTAAAAATTTTTACATTCAAATTCATCAATTGATTATATTCACTACATTGTCTATTATCTTTTTTGTGCACTATTTTTCTAATTAAATATCAAAGTTATAATACAAAATAATGCTATATATTTATTTACCAAGTATTTTATTAATACCATGAAAAAAATAAAAAAAAATATAATTAATAAAGTCAACCATATTAACTACTTGAGAGATTTTGTGACAAAGAGAGTATTCAAATCACACAACAAATTGAAGTGAGAACTACCTTGCAATGTCCTTGTTTGACAATCAGCAGTTAGCGGATTTCACCAACGAATTTATTTAATTATTAACATTGGGTAGAAAAAATGACGCCAAATTATTAAATCAAATGAATGATTCAAATTGTTCAGGTTTTAATTTTTTTTAAAGTTTTTCTAATTTATCCTTAATTATATGATTATCCATTTAACTTTTCCGTTAAATACCAATGAATGATTCAAATTGTTCAAGTTTTAATTTTTTTTAAAGTTTTTCTAATTTATCCTTAATTATATGATTATCCATTTAACTTTTCCGTTAAATACCGTTAATTCACCGTTAGTCTAATTCTAATATTAACGTCTAATATAGAATTATAGTTACACCATTAATCTAATTCTAATATTAAAGTCTTAATAGAACTTAACCACAAATCCTAATGTCGAAATCTCCTCAAACAATATTAGTATATATTTAATATTTTATGCCCTAATTTTTATTTGTTCTCCCTTATGTCCCGTATTTGGTTTCAACCATACCTATACAATTATTTTATTGACAATTATAATCAATCTTGACTATATTATCTTGCATTTGTAAACTTAGAATTACCTATTTAACCCGCACGAGCTTAACTCAATGGTTTAGTGGGCAGTATTTGGGAGAAGAGACCAAGGTTTGAACCTCGGCGGCGGCAATGCGGGAATTATGTCCAAAGCGGGCAGATTCCTTGTTCGCACCGACATTTGGTCCTGTCTGCTGAACCATTGAGTCACCGTGATTTACAACTTCCCACAATGCTCTGTCGGGTCAGAGTGTGGGGGGGCCTTGGGGTTGGGGACTCAACCTTTGGGAGAAGGATTACCTATTTAAATACACAAATTCAACCTTCAATTATCTATGCATGAACAATTTCAATATAATCTTGCCTTAATATACTTTAAAGTGCTTATTTAAAAAAAAAAAAAAACATTGGGCATTATCCCAATCGCGCAATGCGCGTAAAAAACTAGTATACTAATAAGAGCCCAAGAGAGTTAGGCCTATAATGGGTAGAAAAAATAGCGGTCAAATTTTTTAATCAAATAAATGGCTCTGATTGATCAGATTTTAATTTTTCCTTTAAGA